AATTTTAATATAATAAGTTAATAAAAAATAGCCAGCTGGAATGCATAGATGAATCATAGTCAGTAAAAGTGTAAATTCAAGCCTCAACAGCATCGATTACAATATAGAGGCAGAGGCTCATAATTTGCCCTTAAAACGAGGAATTACTTGACGTTTCTAATTATAAATTTCATTAATCTATTTTATACATACTAAAAAATTAATTTAATTAGTATTGTCGTTAAATTAATCTATTTTATACATATTAATAAAATTAACAACTTATATATATCTGTTTAAAAATATTATGGTTCTATGATTAAATTCAACATATAAAAAATATAATTTATAAAATAGAGGATAAAACTGCAATTAGACCAATATCATTAAATTTAGTTGGATTCAAAGATCAATATAATATGTATTTCAATTCTTATATTTTAAAAGCGAGAGGAAACTGTGTGTAAACTGAAAAGTCACGTTGACTGTTAGGAGTTCGTTTCACGCGTTAAGCTTTATAACTATTTATATACAACGGTTGACCTGTTGAAATAAAACTTGCGTTGACTGCTAAATTAAAATTTAATTTATTATTATACTTTGCAATTATAATTTAACTGTTTCTTTTTTATGAAATTGTAAAACTAATCAGTGTTTCTCTCTCAAAATAAATTATTGGGTACCTTAATTCTTTCTAATGAATATTCTCCTAAAAATCCGATGATGCTTTAGATTACATTAAAGAAACTTTTCCGAGGCGGCCAAAAATGAGTAGGGTGGGGCTAAATTTGGCCTTAAGGATGACAAAGTCAATGAAGATTTAGATTCATTTGTTTTCTAGTAAAAACAATTCATAATCTTCTTTGCATGGAAATGAAGTGAATTACAACTTTTTTTTAAATAAAATTTCTTTCTTTATTCGAATAACCACCTTAACATTTAAGCACACCCACAAACTCAAAATTTTACAACTTTATTTACGAGACGCGTGGAAAAAGGACGTTTATGATTCTCAAATGTTATTATTAAACTTTTTTTTTGATATTTTGATTCATTAATTTATTAATGTAGATTAAATATTATAATGATTATTAAAAAATATGTTAATGATTAAAATATCAATAAAATATTTAAATGATCAACATATTAAATACTACAAATACGATTGTTATAAAAATAATTATAAAAATTAGAATAGATTTATTCATAATTTAGGCTATCTTTATTATTTATCAATCATGATTAGATTTATTCATGGATTAAATTAATTCTATATTAAAATTTGATTTTTTAAATCAGATTTAGATTTACTGTGATTCATACACACTTTTTATCATTTATGGTTCAATTAAATTTTTGTTTATTTTTTTCGAAGATAAAATCACGATATTTGGCATTGCAATTGTAAGCAAGGCATGGTAATTGGCATGCATGTCTCTCATGTAGTCATGTGCCATGTTTATAAAATACAAGGAAACGATGCCTTTGAGAAAGGGACTATGTATAAGCCAATTCCAGTGTCATTATAATTCTAATTTTATTACTTAAAAACTCTAGTGGACAAGGTTTTGTTGGACTCGCCCATGGTTTATGTTTAGAGTACAAGGTTGTTATCGTCTTGTACTGTGTCGACCACATGATGGTTTCACTTGTAAGTGATACGGCTTTACTAAGTATTAGATTACATGTGATTTAATATTATAATTAAACATTTTTTATTCCATTCTTTCAATTTTAGGTTGAATGTGTACTCGTTACAATATTAATAGATGCTCAATACTAAAGTGAGTCAAATTATATTTAAATATGCGGTTTGTGTTCAGAGATAATTTTCTCATGACAATTGATTTTGTTTTGTGTTTTTCGACGAGTTTTCAATAGTTTGATCTCATATCTACTAGTATATGATCTATTAATCGATTAATTTAGATCAGGTACTACAAAGGCGATGACAATTATCCCAACTCAATTTGTTCCATTTACAAACACCAGAGTTCGAACCATTAACTTTACTTAAAGAATCTAGTATTTCATCCCAATAGACCAATTGATTGTTGGTTTTTTTTATTTGCATAAAAAATGTAATACATCAAGCTGCGTAATTGTCTTCAATTTAATAATATAAAAATGGACTTTGGAGCTTACACCAATACTTAAATAAATTCGAACGTATATAATGTATTTTCCCCATATATCGCGGTCTCTCTGGTAAGGAATAGCATTCAAAATATTATCTAAAAATAAAACGTGAGAAATCCAAAAACATCATTAGTTGGTTGAATTTAGTCATTGAGTGAACAAAAACGAAGAGAAGAGTAATGAAGTTTCGTTTCCTCTTTCTTTTGTTTTGTAGTTTTCTATAAAATGGGAGAGATGGGTTGGGAATAATTTGACGGTCAAAGGTACAGCAGTAGGCGTGGAGTTGCGTGAAAGACCAGAGCGGCTTCCAAAACAACAAATACGATGTGATGTCGGATGGTGGTAGGAACCTCCGTTTGGTTGATTTTGTAGTTTAAAAAATAGACTATGGTAATTTATAAGATAATTGTACTATTATTTTCCCATTTTCCTTCTTTCTTCGTTGAATTCGTTACTATTGTTATCTCGGTGGCCAACAAACCCACCCCACCTGAAATTTTAGACCATTAAAACCTTCACCTGAAACCTCTATAAATACTCCCGCAACTTTCATCAGCTCTGCACCAAACACAATACAAGCTTTCTGCGTGACACCCAAAGCCAAAGGATTCAAACTTGGAGAGATTTGTAAGAAAAATGGCAACTTTCCCAGTGATCAACTTAGAGAAGCTTAATGGCGAGGAGAGGGCTGCAACCATGGAGCAAATCAAGGATGCCTGTGAGAATTGGGGATTCTTTGAGGTATCTTCGAAAGCTAGCTTTGCTTTAATGCTCTAATGGCTGTTTCTGTCAATTTTTGTGCTGATGAAAACAAAAACTGTTTATTTTGTGTGTTTAGCTGCTGAACCATGGGATTCCCCATGATTTCCTGGACACTGTTGAGAGATTGACTAGAGAGCATTACAAGAAATGCATGGAACAGAGGTTTAAGGAATTGGTTGCAAGCAAGGCCCTTGAAGGTCTCCAGGCCGAGGTTACTGATATGGACTGGGAAAGCACGTTCTTCTTGCGCCATCTCCCTGAATCAAACATGGCGGAAATCCCAGATCTCTCCCATGAATACAGTCAAGTGATGAAGGAATTTGCACTGAAATTGGAGAAACTGGCAGAGGAGCTACTGGATTTGTTGTGTGAGAATTTGGGGTTGGAGAAAGGGTATTTAAAAAACGCATTCCACGGGACGAGAGGTCCGACATTCGGGACCAAAGTTAGTAACTACCCGCCATGCCCGACACCCGACAAAATCAAGGGACTCCGAGCTCATACCGATGCCGGCGGCATCATCTTGCTGTTCCAAGACGCCCAAGTGAGCGGCCTCCAGCTTCTTAAAGACGGCAAGTGGGTGGATGTTCCACCTATGCGTCACTCCATTGTCATCAACCTCGGAGATCAGCTGGAGGTGATCACTAATGGCAAATACAAGAGCGTGGAGCATCGAGTGATCGCACAAACCAACGGAGCTCGCATGTCGATTGCTTCGTTTTACAACCCTGGAGGCGACGCCGTTATCCATCCGGCACCGGCTCTGGTGGAGAAAGAAGCCGAGGAGAAGAAACAATTGTACCCCAAATTTGTGTTTGAAGATTACATGAAGTTATACGCGGGGTTGAAATTCCAGGCCAAGGAACCCAGATTTGAAGCCATGAAAGCCAGGGAAACGACTCTTCCCATTGCAACAGCTTAAAGAATATATCCATGAAATAAAAGAAAGAAGTCAAGTGGCATTGGTGTGTGTTTGATTTCATTATTGTAAACACCAACATGGAAGAAATTATAATGTATTTCATTATTATTTAATAAAAAGGATTCTTCATTTTTGTTTATTGAAAATTTTCAAGTACCATAATCCCCACCATAAAGAAAGAAAACAAGACGAGTTCAATTATAATTTATTGTTGTCTCCAAACAATCAAAAGCGAACCCCACATGAGAAAAGCACATGCATCTCCTATACACGATGAAATGAAAAAACTTTGTCGACTGGAAGCCGAGTTTTAAACCATGCATGTTAGGAATAACAATGTTGGGAACGATACAAGAAATCATCATTACATCTGAGAGAAAAATCCTGGACATTGTAATTAAAATCCATATAAGCATTCAACCAAATGGAATTGAAAGATCAAATCTCTCTCCTACCCCTCCGTTTAAATCACATATATATGCTTGATAATTGAGTAGCCAGCTAGAATCATCATGTATACATTGCCTTCCTAGCTGCCAATGCCTTGCCACCGGCAGAATAGCTGTGCTCTTGATTCTTGCTAACGGTCGAGGATTGTCTACATAACATACACGTAGCTAACAATAATTTTCAGATACATACATACGTATATATTATAGGCCTATCAATCGGATTACTTTGAGATCGGAATAATTTCGGATTGGAACGTTATTTGTTGGTAAAAAAAGATTTTTTGACCCCTCAATTTTATTATTTTATTGTTTTATTTTCAATTTTGTATTAAACTGATCCAAATATAACGAAATATTAATGAAATATTCATTTGATATCGATTTTGTCAAGTTAGCGATGTCGTTACTGTTTAGTAATATTTGAATCAATTGAACAAAAAATAAAATTTTCATTTCAAAATAAATGCAACTAAATTTTAACAGGTGAAATGATTAAATTGGTAAAATTGAAGGGCTGAAAAGGTTTTTATGCCTTTCTTTGTTTTAAATTTTTTGGATTTTTTTGTTCATGTAATTTGAATTTGGACCAGTTAATATTTTAAATATTTTTGAACTGAAATCGTTTATTTTTTATAATTAAATAAGCTAATTTGCATTTAGATTGATTTTTCGTACTGAAAAAAATTGACTTGTATGATACATATTTAACTGGATAATAGTTGTACATCCCAGCAGAAACAAGTAGAAAAAAATCAAGTAGAAGACGGAAAGGGAGATCTGAACAATGTTCAACACAAACAGAGCATTGCCACAACATTACTTGCCTTGTCACTGTTCACCAACAGAAACTCTACGCAGCCCGATGTTCACTTCTTGGAACAAGAAAAACACATGGGCAGATGTTTCACGCTGGAAACATCAAACAACTCCATAAACCTCTGATCCGAAACCCTAGCTTTAGCCGCCGCAAACCTCTGGTATTCGTCGAACACAGACGACAAACACCATCTCTGCAGTTTTCTCAAGCATCCAACCAGACACCCGGTTCGATGCTTAAAACAACGACAACAGCAATAAGAACATAGTAAAACTCAAAGCTGAAGTACGATAAATGAGCAACAAATTTCACATACCTTCCCACGATTACAGTGGATTAGAACAGGGTGATTCCTTACATCTGCATTGCAGAAAACAGAAAGAGCAGAAATAACTTAGAAGTTTGATCAAAACACGTCTAACTTGGGACAGAAATGAAGTGTAGGAGTACCAATGACAACTTTTAGAGCTTCACGAATTGCATCCTCTGGGATATTTACAAATGGCTCCTGCATGAAAATATAGTTTTATTTTGAATTGACAGTATCATATACATATATATACACATACACGTATACATATACAGATTATGATGCTAAGGTTGTTTACTGGACATCTATCCTAACCGAAACAAAGTGCGGTGGAGTCATATGATGCTGCAAAATTCAGAAGGAATAAAAAACTTGTGCAAGTCAGCAGATAGACCCACAATTTGGACAACAACAGTTGTATGATTCCAAATGTTACAGCAAATGTTTGTTTTATGTTAGGAATTCAAAATCAATAAAAAAGAAAGAAAGAAAAGAAGAGGCAAGAATGCACAAGAAAACAATTGGACATGTCAGCCAACCTGCTCGATTCCATTTCTCAATATTAACTCTAATGCCAAAATGGAACTTCTTGTAATTTTGTGGAATGCATATAGACGTTGATAAGAAAATTAGAAATAAACCCATCATGTATACCAAAATCAATCAAGTCTTAATAATTAGAGATGGACCGAGTGGTATTGGACAGTCTCACTCTCTTAAAATTTCAAATTATTATATTTTTTTTATGTATTTTTCATTTTATTTTATACCTTGAAATCAGGGATGGCAAACGGAAACAGTTTCGTGGATTCCGCACCGCATCCGCTCCAATTGGGGCGGGGATGGGTATAATTTTAGCGGGTAGTGGGCGGGTGTGAATTTAGAAAGTGGTACCCGTCGCAGGTGGTGGGCGGGTAATGGGTTTGAGACATTATCCGCCCCGCATCCGCCCGCCCCGCATCCGCCCGCCCCACATCCGCCCGCCCAGCTAAATATCCATTAAATTTTGGACCATTATGAATTTAGGTGTAATTTTAGAGACTAATTTATAAATTCTAATATTGTATAAGATATAACATGTAATTTATCCAACTCTCCAACAAATAGCAAAGGATATTTTGGGCATTACTGTCTCCACTGTCCCATCAAAATCTGCATTCAGTATAGGTGGAAGAGTAATTGGTCCTTATCGTAGTCGACTACTTTCGGAGACGATTGAAGCATTAATGTATGCTCAAAATTGGTTTTGGGCCGATATTAAAGGTAATATTATTATTTAGTTTATATTAGTTGTCAAATTGTGCTTAATTATCTTATTAAAGTTTAGTTACTAACTTATATTAGTTTTACTTTCTATTATATATGTAGGTAGTAGTGAATTTAAATTGGAGCGCTCTCAGTTGGAGGAAATAGAGAATGATGATTGTAATACTGGAGTATTATATGTCACAAATATTGCCTGAAATTTTAGAATGTTGTGCCAAAGAACAAAAACATTATGTGTTTGTCATTTATGTTTCTAGACTTTAATTATGTCCTTTATTATGGTGTTTTATGTATTTTAAGATCTATATTAACACTTAACTTAGATAATCATTGGATTATTTTATTATGTTTCTTAATGGACATGTTTTTTTATGTTTGTTGCTTATGTATAACTTAAGTTTGCTGTCAGGCGGGTCTAGACGGGTCCGTCGCTAGTGAGTAGTGGTGTGGGGATGGATTTGAGAATGTATCCGCGTGGGCGGGTGTGGATTTAAAAATTTGTACCCATCATGGGTGGTGGGCGGGTGGTGAATTGAAAAATATTAGGTGGATATAGGAATGGGGGAGGAGATATCCGCACCCGACCCGGCCGTTTGCCATCCCTACTTGAAATTTATAATTTCACTCTTAATTTTTTTAATATATTTAAAAAATTCACGTTTTAACATAAAATCTTATATATGTAAACGTTAATAATGTGAGTCAAAGATCCATAATTGCAAAAAAGAGTTACCTTGTAACCTTCAATTCCAAACTGAAAAAGCTTGATTTCATTGGACTTTAAGAACTCAGTGTTGGCTTCTGGGTAAGGCTCGGGACACAGATATCTAACATCAAAACCAAAAGAAAAAGAAAAAATTTCCACTCAAAAGTACAAAAATAAATTGCATGTGGAAGAGGTTAAAACAAAACAAAAGTAAACTTGGGTCTTACATGATGGAGCGGAGGTTACGTCTTTGGAGAAAAGCGAAGTTTGCAGAGTCGGGGAAACCAGACCTGAAGATGCCATTGTCAACCATCGCAAAGTTGAACGGAGGAATCAAGTTATGTTCATCAACAACGTTGGAACCGACCGCCGCCGGATACATGTCCACAACATGCTCAACTGTTGCAACAACTTCTATGGTTCTCCACATCTCTTGCTTCTCTTCTTGTTGCCTTGGGTTTAGTTTAGTTTGAGTGCCTTCTCTCATCATGTTTCGTAGGAAAGATATTGGGATCAAAATTACGTCTGCGAATTGGTGATACGTAAAAAGAAAGATGTATATTGAATCTGTAGATGAACATGGTTTATATATAAATCAAGACAAGTTTTTTATAATTTAAAAAAATAGTACTAAAACTAGACAGAAACGGTGGTTAAAATGTTTGAGAAAAGGAGCAAGCGAATAAAGAAAACATTCCAAGGAATATGCTATTTCTTGTTAGGGAAAGAGAGAAAGATGGATAATTGGGGGGGAGTGATATTCTATGACATATATTTAGTGCTTGGATTTGTATTATAAACCCCCCCACCCCCCAATCCATTAGATTCCCATTACTCTAATAAAATTTTAATCAAAAAACATATAAAAGATATAATATTTTAAAAATCAAATAAAATTTTAAATGAAATAGGATATTATTGAATTTGAGTCGAATCGAATAACATATAAAAGATATAATATTTTAATCTATGTTAAAATAGATAAAAAATCTAACCCATCTAATTCATGGGCATGAAACTATAAAATATGGTAATGTGTTTAATCCATTAAAGCACAAAATATTAGGTTTATAAGTTCTCAAATTTATGATTTTCACGAAAACAAATGTCTTATTATTATCCAGGCCATAGATGCGAGTCCATGTTTGCATCAGACACGGGCCTTGTTGGCTCGAAATTTTGTTCGGACATTTACCTTTATTTCTTCTTTCATCGAAATGTGATTAACTGAACTGCCGACTAGTGTTTCAGCACTCTGCTGCACTTCTGAAAAATTTATACAGAGGATATCAATGTGGTTGGCAGCGATTCGATGCGTGAATATATTTAATAGTTGCATTTGTTTGAAGAGGAGATATTTATGGGTTTCAAGCACATCCTTAATAGACAGAGCCGCCATGGAAGGGGAGCTAAGAGTGTTCATTGTTGCGGGAGAGGTTAGTGGAGATACCATTGTTTCCCATGGAGAATATTGCAGTAATGGGAATCTGGGAATTATTACCACACCTCTTTAATTTCAGAGTGAGTGAGTATTTTGAGACCAATGTCATTGAACCTCTATTATAAGACTTCTTACTGAACTACTGATGGTGTTCGGATTCGATGAAATGTCAGGTAAAGTTGAAGGAAACTGTGGAGGCTGCATTCCATTTCCGGCCTCATGTGGTTGTGACTGTGGACTCCAAGGGATTCTCTTTCCGTCTCCTTAAGCAATTACGGGGTAATATAAGCGATGTCTTGGAGTTGGGATCAAGTTTTGTGTATTTGCATATTGTCTGTTCGATATGATGTGCCCGAAACAATTTTTTCTTTCAGCAAGATATGATCAAGATAGGGCAGATGGACCAATACACTTTCATTATGTAGCACCATCATTCTGGGCATGGAAAGGAGGTGAAGCAAGACTCAAAGGCCTATCTAAATTTGTGGATCATCTGTTCTGTATACTTCAGAATGAGGAAGCAGTATGTCGATCAAATGGACTGGCTGCAACCTTTGTTGGTCACCCCATTCTGGAAGATGTTTTAGAACTGAACATGGTATGAATTCATCTTCTGCTGTCGTGAAATGTGCCGGTATCATTTATCTTCTCTTATAAATGTTTAAGTTTGGGATGATTCTGTTTCCTAAAACATTACTGTGAGTTTTTTCTTTCTCCAAGTACGTTTTGTGTTAAGAGTACATGTTTGCCTATTGACGTGTGTGCATAGTTATTTTAGAATTAACAAAGAAGAAATATTTATGCTTAGGGAAAGGAAACCGCATTACATCAGTGGAAGATAACTGGAAATGGTGAAGATTTTCGGAAAAAAATATGCCATACCTTCAGGTAACGTGAAGATGAACATAATGAAGTTCTAGAAACTCAATAGTTTTTCTATTTCAAACTTGATTGTGATGGTACACTCTATCATTGAGATTCACTCATAAAATTTCAAGTTGTTTTCTATTTTTTTATGTGTCCACTTTGAAACCTTCACTCTGGACTTCTGGTTTCCTCATTTTGTCTTTTACCCTTCATCAGTTTGGTATTTATAGCATCTATAGTCCAACCTAAGGTCTAACTCTTATGTTTTACTTTTGTTTTTTTTTGAAGTTGTTCTGATTAACCAAAAGCTGAAAATCACTGAAATGTATTAGAATTTGGATTTTGTATGGATTCATTTCTTTTTGTGTGCTTTTGTGTTTTCTTTGAGTATGCTTTCTGGGGATATATGCTTAATTAAGATCTATCTGTGTTTTATAAAGGAGCGACAATGATTACCTTGCTACCCGGAAGCAGATCACAAGAGGTCACTAGAATGCTTCCCATCTTTTCAAACACAATGAAACTACTAAAAGACTCTTTCCCTGAGCTGATATCAGTAATCAATGTGGCTCCAAATCAACTAGTGGACAACTATATTGCTAGGGCCATTCATAAGTGACCCGTGCCTGCCATATTGATTCCAGGAGGAACCCCACTCCTGAAATATGATGCATTCAGTGTAAGTCTTTCAGTGCTCATGAGTCACGGTTGCAACTATCGTAAAACGTATTTCCGAAATGTTTGATATAAAAATTGCTGTGAATGCTTATGAAAAAAATGAATGTTTTTTTTTAACTTAGTTTTCTGGTATTAGTTAATCTTCTATGTTACTCCATGTAATAGCAAGCCTGGTTAAGCCTCATTTGTTTACTGAACTTAATGAGACTATAGATATGTTGAGTTGATGGGTTTGAGTCGTGACTCAGATCAAGGAAAAAGCCTTTTGCACCTAGTAATTTGAATTTCATGGACTTGAAAGCTATCATGTTGAAATCCATTAGTTTCTTTGCAGGCAAGCCGAGTTGCCTTATGTACGTCCGGAACTGTTGCTATGGAGTTGCAGCTCGCAAGGTTGCCTTGTTTAGTTACTTATAGAGCCCATTTCCTAACCGAATGGTTCATTCGCTTCAAATCAAAGATACCGTACATCTCACTTCCCAATATCCTCTTGGATTCTCCTGTTATTCCTGAAGCACCATTTCAAACATGTACGCCCGCAAAAGTAGCATTCCTGCTAAAGTAAGCAACTTTTACGATACAGGCATGGATTTTTTTCCTCGGTAAATTCTTTAGTTATGATTGAGCAAAAATTAGAAACTGTTTTTTATCGATGAGATTGATTCTTTCTTCTATATTTATCGTATCGATAAAAACGGAGGGTTGTGACTCATGAAGTCACGATTCTTAATTTGGATAGAATATGGCTTGAAGATTTGACTCCTTGCAGGGAATTGATGAACAATGTAGAACTCCAACAGCAACAAATTTTAGCTGCTGAGAAGGTCATGGAACTTATACGCCCTTCGATCAGAACAGTAGACTACTCGGAACAGCAGGGTATGAATCGGACGCCTCCCACTTATAGTCCAAGTATGATTGCAGCATCCACCATACTTGGCTACAATCAGAGATGAAGATTAGCATCTATGTTACTCATACCCGGAAATGAATATCATATACGGGTATGTTTCCGACACTCATATGTTCATCTTTTTTCTTCTTCTTATATTCGGATGATTATACCCCGTATCATAATTCTTGAAAAATGCAGAGTGGAAACAATGAAATCTTTTGCTAAATGTTTGAAATTGTGATAAGAATGAACCGGCATCAAGGGAAGGTACACAGAGACCCGGTTAGGAAGATCAAGGAAAGAAAGCAATATCATCTAAAATCGAGTGATATCTAATGCGTGGGTCATTCATTGCGAGACAGGATTGAAGATGGATTTAAACAATTTTCGTCATGTGGCGATGCTTATACCACATATCTTTCTTCTGACAAACATCTCTTTATTTATTTTTATTGATCCCATACGAGACATAGAATGGTGTTTTCTTCCTAGAAGAAATATCTGATTTATTAGTCACTGGTATCCTATTTATTAATCGATTAATTCATATCGGGTACTGCAGAGGCGAGGACGATCATCCCAATCTATTTTGCTTTATACGCAAACGTCAGGATTCGAACCCCTGACCTTACTTAAGGAACCTAATACCTCGTTCTATTAAATTTTTTTTTGGATAAATTAAATTTTATTATCCAAAAGAATAATGTTGCTACAAGAAACGTCCCGAAAGGGAGTGTAAACAAATACTTACAACAAAATAATGGTTAGTCTATACTCCCACTAGAATTTGTTATTTGTTCTTTTTTACTTATGTTTGTGTTATATTTTCTTTTGGATTAGTTTCTTATACCGTCGTTGTGTGTTTAAATATAAATTGCTTAGGTGTTTAGATTTTTTTATTAAATTAATAGGTATTGTATTTTTAAGATAAATATCAAGATTCAACTTCAAATAAGATAATATAATATGATTATACTAATTCTTTAATCTTTCGATAAATTAATGTAATCTCACATATGTCTAAATTTTGATTAAACTACTTATTGACCCGAAATTTATTTTATTGTATCGTTTATTATTGTTGGAATGCTATTTTTGCTTTCTTGGTATATTTTTAATTTTTATGAATTCTCCTTCGATTAAAATGCATTGCATAGCAAAAAATCTTTCATTTACGAACATACAATGTTTGAGTTCTAGATTCTTCCCAATTGGCGGACGCCAGCAAATGCGTAAGAAAGGCCCAACACAGCCGCGCATTTTAGAAAAACACGTTAAAATTAGTAACCACCGCCGCTTATCCAACGCAACCCCCAGTCCTATATATAAGCAAATTAAAAGCCCACCAATTACAAATATTTTGTATTTTCTTTTCTTCTTCATGTTAATCGATCCTGAAGGAGAAAATTCCCTTCTCCGAAAGAGAAAATTCCCATCAATTCCCCAGGTAAACAAAAACCCCATCAAAATTCTCTATCTGGATCTTTTTTATCATCCTTATTCTTCCTTAATTCTTCATGTTAAAGTTCAATTTGCTTGTTAGAATTTGTTCAATTCAACAAAGAAAGCAATAAATTTTGGGTTTTTCTTCGTTTAACATGTAAATGGTGATCTGGGTGCTCTGATGTCGTTGTCGAACCAACCGCCTTTATTTAAAAAGATTTCAATTTGAAACTAGCAATTTCTTTGGCTTTTTTTTAGGAAAAAAAAGTGTGTGATTATGAATATATTTTGCTTTTTAAAAGTTTCTCTTGTTCTCCATTTTTGTTTAATGTTGTAGTGCATCATGGAAGAGCAAGTAAATATGGTGAATGTGACTGTTATATGGAGAGGAAACAAGTATATGGTGGAAATGGATTCTAATGCAAATCTCAATGAGCTAGGAGATGAGTTGCAGAAGTTGACTGATGTAAAGGCCGATACCATGCGTCTCATTGTTCCTCAATTGTCTGGAAAAGGCTCGAGAATGCTTCACCCCTTCTCGGATGAGCATTCATGCTTGAGCTTGCAAGAGGCTTCAATTTTCATGGTATTAATCATCCCATCTAGTGTTATATATCCATGAGTATGTTTATTGTTTAATGCTAAATAGAATAAAGTATTCGCATCCTTTCATCTGTTTGGCATGAATTTGTTATAGGCTGATATCTCTGAGTCGCAATTTATGTTGAGCTGAAACTGATTTCATGATTTTCAAGTGCCCGAGAATGTCTTGTTATTTTTTGGTTAAATTGCTACTTGTTTGTGATGTTTTGTTCATGTTTATTAAGTCATTGGGAAAATGAGGGTGTTAATAATTGTTTTTGCTTGAAATTATTTTGAAAGTGGCATGAAGGATTATTATTGAAGAGATTGAAAGTAATAAAAATGCAGTGATGCTATGGATATGATTAACTGAACCCAACCTATGGTACATTGTTCAACTTAAATTCAGGGAAAAACGGTCAGGATGATGGGGGCTCCCGAGTATGAAGTTGACCGAGTTAATCAATATTCAAAGGAAGATCAGAGAATAATTGGATTCAGTGAAGAGGAAAGGAGACTAAGGCAGCGAATGTTAGATGGACCCTCCCGGGTTCTGATAAAACTTCCTCAAGGACCTTATATCTTTTGTGATTTTCGCACTCTTCAACTTCCAGGAGTAGAGGTACTTCTGAATTCATTACCATTGACCTTACAAATCTAAGTAATGAATAATGAAAAAGTTCCATTGACACAATTTCTGTTTATCAAGTTTCACTTGGATTATATTGGTAATTTAATTTTTTTTACACAAACAAAGTGCACATTTATTGATAGAGAAATGATTTTTGGCTCTAGATTCCCAATTTTGCAAATTAAGAGATGCAGATTAAGTGCACCAGACATCTTAAATTATGTTCTTCGTGTGCTATTTGTCAGTATTTAAATTCAAGGAAATGACAAGCTTTTCACTTTTCTAATATTCCTGATAACTATCTCTTACCAGTTACACCCTCCTGCTTCTGAGGCATTAAGAAGGATGCATATGCTTGCTTCAGACCCTGGAATCGTTGCTGTCATGAACAAGGTGCCACAGGATCTATATTTACCCTACTACTTCGCTTAAATGACTCTATAAGCTCAGCTAAACTAATTTCTGCTTGTTCTTGTTGTAAAGCACCGATGGCGTGTGGGAATAATGACTGAGATGGCTCCCGTTGGTTATGTTGGTGTGAGTCCAAAATGCATTCTAGGTTTTAATAAGGTAATGGCCTCTTTTTAAGCTAAGAAAAATAACATATATTAATATTTTCAAGCTCTCTACTTCCAATTATCTTTTATTGTTGATTCTTATTTGTTCTTTCAGAATCATGGGGAAGAGATATCTCTCCGTCTTCGAACTGATGACCTCAAAGGATTCAGGAAATATGAGAGCATAAAAAAAACTCTTCTACATGAACTTGTAAGCTTTATTGAACAAATTTCAATTATCAGTTGTACAAATGTTAACAATGATTAATTATTGTAATCCCTAAAGAGGGAGGTGATCGATTAACAAACAACTGTTTGAGAATTGTGCTTCTGTATATTTCAGGCTCATATGGTATTTTCTGAACATGATTCAAATTTTTACGCCCTGGATAAACAGGTAAAACTACCTTTTCTATGCACATTTTTTTAGTAGGAAACCGTGTTTCATTGCCGATTATTGAATTGAAAAAAATTATTGTCTTGATTTAATGTTACTTCTTTTTCTGCAGTTAAATGAAGAAGCTGCTAGCCTAGACTGGACCAAATACAGGGCCCACACTTTAAGTGGAATCAGACATTCAGATAACTCTGAAGAAGATTATTATGTTGAAAATGGCAGAAATTCTCAGAAAGTTGGTGGAAATATGTCAACTTTGCTGCAAAATGCTAGAGCATCTGCTGTAGCTGCTGCTTATCATCGTCTAATAAACACTTCTTCCAATGTGGAGGCATCCAAAACACACGATGAGCCAGACCCTGATGAACCCATGTTGGTTATGCATGATGGAGATGAAAATCTAGATATTCAAAGTCAAATTAAGGCTCAGGGGGAACATACTTATGAACCAGATCCTGATGACCTTTCTGACAACCAAAACAAGTTTGAACCTGATCCAGATGATTTGCTGCATGGTGAAACTCTACAACTGAAACATCATTCTGATTCTACTCAAAACGGTTCTCAGACAACTCTAGAGAAATCAGCAGTCATGAGTTCAAATGAAGAGCCTGATCCTGATGATTCAAGCGCATCTTCAAATTCTGGAAATGTAGTTGAACCTTTGGCGATGCCGATTCTGGACACCAAGGTTCAGAGAAGTGATATCATAGATGAACCAGATCCTGATGACAGAGAAGCACAACCTAGGATTCCAGGGTGTGCAAACGGAAGAAGTCATGATCCCCATCATAACATAACAATTGAAACCTTGGAAGATCAAGCTCATTTCAACCAAGGTCATATGGAACCCGACCCTGATGATGCTAAAGCTAATGAAATAGCAAAAGGAGAGCCTCATTCAGATGATAGGTTATTGCTACCATTGGGAATATCTGATATGAAAATTGATGAGCCAAATCTGGATGATCAAGAACTACAGAGAATCCAAGAATCTGTGACTGGTATTTGTAGCCGTCTACAAAAGGCCGTTGAGATGTTACGAGCTGAAGTTAATCCCACCGATGCAACTATAATTCTGCAAACTCTTTTTAAGATTATTAGGTTTGCATTCTTGCTCAACTGTCCTTAAATTCATCTTCTTTTTAACACAATAAAGCATTGGTACTATGCATCTGGTTATCTCTTGCAAATTCCAATAGAGGTTCATCATCCCTATTCTGCTTGCATACTTTTCCGTCTTTGTTTTGTGAACTAAGGTATCGATAAAAGCTGGAATTATTTTCTTTGTTGGCAGGAATGTGATTGAACACCCAGATGAAATGAAATTTAGAAGACTCCGGAAGGTAAAGTGCTTGCTAGTCTTGAGGAAAATGTTTTATTTCCATGAGTTAACCTGTTGTAATTTCTCTTTTATGTGGAATCCTTTTTTACGCCTGATCCGTGGTTACTAAATAATCATCTATGTTGCAGGCCAATCCTATAATCCAAAGAAACATTGCAAATTACAAAGGTTTGTTTCCTCTCATTCTTTCCCCCTCATTCTTTCTTTATCTTTCTTTATCCATGTTGCATTTTTGTTGTTGCAGCGGCCATGGAAATTCTTCTCTTGATTGGTTTCAGTGAAGATGTTATATTGGACGAAACTTACCTAGTGTTAAAGCGGAATGATCCTGGTCTTTTATGGCTTGCCAAGTCCTCCCTCGAAACATGTATTGCTTACTAGTTTCATCATGAACCTCTTATACGTGTTAATATATAATGTTAAAAGACATTCAATATGGTGAAGAAATTACATGATCATATTCTGTTGTAATAATTTCAGAAATGTTTTATGAAAAACGAAGTTGGGTTGGAAACGATGTAAATTTCTCTTATTTTTTTTCTTCCTCTTATAGTATGGTACGAAAACACATAAATTTAGCGATGCCTCTCAGTATGTTAATTATATGATTATAATCCTCATATTATAATGCAAGAACATATATGACAAGACCAAAGGTTTAATGAAACAGTTCCAAAACAATTAGATACTTATGCCGGAAACGTGAAATAAAAGAAGTTATATATATGTATATAAATTTTGGAACGAGCAGAACAGTGTTTCATTAACGTAAGACACCCAGAGAAGCAATGCACCAACAGCCAAATCTAGCATGCAAGAAAAAACATTTACCGGTAATTTACAGCCAAATTAAGTTTTATCCATTGGAATATCACTGCCCTAGGATTTCAGAGATTCTTCTCAGGGTCTGCCGCACCAATTGTGAACTCGAGTGGTGGAAGAGCAAAAATAGATGGAGTACCGACAGGAACTGGAACTGGAACATCTGCTTTTGAGAAGCCGATGTTGAATGGAGCTCCAGTAGGTTGGAAGGCAAGCGCCAAGCAAAGCAGGATTATCGTTATTTGATGATCCAAAGAGCTTTTGCTTATATTCCTGCAACTGCTGGTAGATGGCTACCAATCACCGGCAATTAAAAATCAGAAGACAGTACCACTTTTGGGAATAATATATCAAAAACTAATAACAGCAGCTGCAATATCACACTGGAATGAACATCACAAAAGATATTACGACGGTCGTTTTTCCTCATCCAAATAATACCAAGTGATATCCCTGTGGTTTCAATTAAGTGGATGAAACAGCGACATAAAATGGCTTCCATGATATTAGGTAATCTATGAAGGGGCTGGCAAATACCTTGATTTATATCAACAGACGGTCCCCGTTCTTTCACAAACTGATAGCTTTGTGGAAGCCTCCATCCTTTAGATCTCATCAAGAAAGCTATTACAATAGCCGGTGACCTGTTGCAAAGAATAAAATCATCCTCAGACAATTTGTTTCATTTAAATGGGCATACACACCCAAACATCGGTCTTGATGAGAGTCTGTATAGCCTTAGATTCTTCCACCATAGTATATATGCAAAATTTCAATATTTTCTATTATAAAATAACATAAAAGAGGAAAAACCACTTCAACATTCTTGTGATTGTTTTAATGAGTATTACTAGGAAAAGGAAAGAATGTAGTAGTAGGTTGATCAACCTATTTTTTCCAGACATGCAGTGCACAAGGACTGGAGCCTTATCCATCTCACATTGCTCTGCAGAAATGAACCACAGATCATAATATGCCAACGAAAATGTAAAAATCACACGTGTCAACTGGAAGGGACATCGTGAGCAGAGCAAACCACGAAAAGAATATAAAGTTGGAAAAAGTGATTGAGGATTGAGATGTAGAGAAAATATTGCAGAAAGGTTTCAATATTGTGAACATGCAGCAGAATACCCGCAGTAATTGATGAGAATAGAGAAAACCAAGAAGTGTCTCATTATGAAACTATATTCAGTTAATGCTTATCATGACCTAAAATGAGGGTGAATTACTAAATTCTGCTCAAACCAACCTCTTAAAAATAATAGCAATAATGTTTTCGACAATACCCAGATCGAGAAAACCAACAATTTTTTTTTTTTTTTGTCTTTCGAAGAGTTTTCAGTTAAAGAAATGATCTTGAGATTTTGGTTGATCAAAGAGAGAGATTTGAATGGATTCTTATTTAATTGCGTCTCTGATAATAAAATACACAGGTGCTTGCTGAATCAGGAGTGGAGATAAGATTCGTACTTGAATGATTTTTCGTACTAAAAGAGAAAGTATTTACATATTGGGTAAACTCATCCGGAGATCACTAAATTATGAGGTTAATGCTATTTTGACCACTGAATAAAATATTTTATTAATTAAATTATTAAAATTTTAATTTACTCTTAATTAAACTATTGATCATTAATTATTAATCAGATTACTGATAGATAAAAACCTAGGATAAAATATACAAATGGTCCCCGACTATAGGATAGTGTTCTGTTGAGCCTCTCAATTATTAAAAATTACAAAATAGTCTTCATACTATATGGTATTGCTTTGTTGAGTCCCTCAACTATTAAAAGTTACAAAATGGTCATTTGACTATTCATTATGTTCCAAACTCATCCTTTTATGTTAAAAAGGTAACGACCGTCTGAGTTGGACATTAACATGTTAACTGAGATATGATAGTCGTTTGAGATTATGAGATTAAATTTTATCATATCTCAGTCAGCATATTAACGTCTAGCTCAGGCTGTCGTTGATTTTTTAAAGGAAAAGGACAAGTTTGGAACATATTGAATAGTCGGTGACTATTTTGTAACTTTTGATAGTCGAGGGACTCAATAATATAACACCTTATCATTTAGGGACTATTTTATAATTTTTAATAGTCGAGGGACTCAATAAAATAGTATCTTATAGTTGGGGACTATTTGTATACTTTACCTAAAAATCTATATACTAATATATTTTAATTTCATTAATACACATGTAATCAATATGGTCTTAAATAAACTAATTTGATAACACATGTAATCAATATGGTCTTAAATAAACTAATTTGATATATTTAATCTTATAACTTTAAAATTTTTATCGATTTGATCATAAAATTTTTAATTTTAATTACATCAATACCACCGTTAACAACATCAAATTGGCCTCCCGTCACTGTCCCTAATCCAACCTGCCTTCTCTTTAATACCCAAATCAAAACATCCAAGTCTCATGTTAAACTTGGTTTTTCAACTAATTGTTAATTATAGGTTTGATATTTTGCTCGAAACATTGTTATTTTATTTTCATCTTTTAGGGTTTCAAAGTTTGATTTAAGATCGATTTGGTCAAATATATAAATAATAAAGATTAAATATATTATTATATAAATTTATTTATTTATCATGTTAATAATTATTTGATAAATTAATTAAAACTAATATTTAATAATATAATTGATACAAATTTAATTTATAATTAAATAAAATTAACTTTATAATTTAGTATTTTCGTGATAATTTACCCTTTTATATACCGTCTCCCTGGACTCTTGGAAATAAAATAAAGCGAAAAAGAAAGACAGGGTTACCTAGCTTGATTGAGATTCTTGATGATGAACCCGTGAATTTGATCATCAACGCACCATGTGTTTTATTTTATTCTTTCGTTACCATCCATCTTTATCGTAAAATTATTGCTATTATTTTTATCGTCAATCTTTAGGTTATATTTAAGTCATCTTATTCGAATATTATAATATGATTACATTTATATTTTAAAAACTATTTAAAAACATTATTTTATAATTTAATGATACTTGTCCACAAAGCAAGTGTGTCGTAATAATCTTTGTAGGTGTAAAATGTGGTTTTGATCAATTTGATGTGAAGTGGTTGAGAACTTGTACTGACCAAAACAGTAAACACACATGATTTGGTCGGGAATCTAACATATTTGAGCCTAAAAGGGTTGGTTATGCTTTAAACAAGAGGTCCTGTTTAATTTACAGGGATCGTGATGCCCTAAAACTTCTTTTATGAGTTGCGATCCTTATGCTAGTGGTATCTAAGACCCTTATAATACATGGTTGGGTTTTCTTTGTGATAAAAAGCCCATGATATAGATTTAGAGGACGAAGAAAGTTGCAACTTGCTGCGACAACATTCGGCCCGGTTCAAGTCAATTACCCAAACCCAGGTTTTGAATGTGAATGCAATATTCAGCGGAATTCTTAAGCTAGGGCTTTAACTTTTTGGAATTAGGATAGAAAGAATCAAATTCGTTTCTAGCAGATTGCTCTTTATCTTCTTCTTCTTCATCTCTTTAGCCTTTTACACGCAGCAGCCCAGAAAGGTATTCATTGATTTTCTCTATTTTGATTTGCTTGTATTTCTGCTTCAATTTTTCGTCAATCAGTTGCGGTAAATTGATATTGATGAAATTTCCATGCTTTTTCTTTTGTTGTTTTGTAAAAGTTTTTCATTTAACGGTTGTGTCGTGATGGTTCAGATTCTGTTTAATTTCTTGAGCATATAATACTTCTTTATGTGACCAATTCAAGCATGATACGTTTAATATTTGTTGGCTTATCTTCCCCTAATAGGTTTATTGTTGCTATTGTAATAAAGTTACAAAATTTCCCAATTTTTAGTAACCTTGTTTAAATTTTTTACCCTAAAGAACCCTTGGTTAATATTTATCATGAGAATTATCACAATGTCTAGTTTGTTTCATGTACGATGCTGTTACCGTCGAAATCCATCTTCCTTTGTGGGATTGTTGTGCTTCTTGCCGCTTGTAATTGTAAATCGGCCTTTGTTTTGGTAGGTAGGTACACACAGCAAGAAGAAACCATGCCGAAGAACAAGGGAAAGGGAGGAAAGAACAGGAAGAGAGGAAAGAATGAAGCAGACGATGAAAAGCGTGAACTTGTATTCAAGGAAGATGGGCAAGAGTATGCCCAAGTGCTTCGTATGCTGGGCAATGGCCGGTGTGAAGCCATGTGCATTGATGGCAGTAAGCGCCTTTGCCATATCCGTGGAAAGATGCACAAGAAGGTTTGGATCGCTGCCGGTGATATAATTCTCGTTGGACTTCGTGACTATCAGGATGACAAGGCCGATGTGATCCTCAAGTACATGCCTGATGAAGCAAGGCTCTTGAAAGCATACGGCGAGCTTCCCGAGAACACGCGACTCAATGAAGGCATTGTTGACGAGGAAGATGAAGGGGGTGCAGATGATTATGTCGAGTTTGAAGATGAAGACATTGACAAGATCTAGGGTTTTGTATTTCTTTTGTTCAAATGATTTGCATAAATGGCACAAGAGATCTGGGATTTCTCCCATTAGAAAATTATAAGTTCTGAATATGTCAGTATTAGGTGCATGTTGTTACTTTTACTGTAATCGCGTTCCATATCTCAAATTTACTTGTAACAGCAATAATGAAAGTTAGCTTTCCGTGAGCTTTCATACAAGCTGTAGTTTAAGTGCAGCCTTGCATGATGTAGGATGCATAGATAAGAACAACATGCTTTAGCTCCAGGGTGAGATTGATTAAAGGTAGGTGTTACTATTTTGTACCGTGAATCTTGAACCTTTGCACTGTGCAAGCTCAGTGGTATGATGAGCCTTATATTGGATCCGTCATCCGTTTAACGGCACCTTATGCATCAAAGAAGTATTATTAATAATTGTTTTAGGAATTATATTACCTTCTCAATTCAATCAAAAATAATGAGTCATTACGCTTTTGTTTGTATAAATATTGCCTGAATGTAAACTCATTAAACGACTTTAGTAGCTTCATCTATATAGGATACGTGTGTAGTGAATAATTAAAAGATTTTAAACATATATTATCTTGTAATTATTAAAAAAATATTACTATCATAATTATATTTGTATTCAAACACAATTCATTACTGATTTTAATTTTGTCACTACAACAATAAATCTTATTTTTGTTTTTAATTTCACCGAAACCAATCTCGTCATTCATCTGAAGATCCTGGTGGTCATTAGGGCGGAGCTAGGGAAATAGTTGTAAGTAGCTTTGGCAAACCCCCCCCCCCCAAAAAAAATTATAATCTCTTAAAAAATTTTGTAATTATAAATTAATTTTAATGAAAAAAAATATACTTTAATTTCCTTTTAAAAGTTCCTAACTTCGTCTTGGACTGTACTGCTATTGTGGGTAAAAATAATGCTTAATCCAATAATAAATGTCTAAATTATGCATCGAAAAAACGTTGTACAACTTAAAGAATTTTTTGTTAAAAATATCTGTTAAGTGACACATGTGATATTTTGGTAATTTTGAGAATTTTTCAAATCTAAAAAAAATCAAAACTTTAAAACCTTAATTTTAATCCCTTTGTCACTGATGGCTACCACCAACGCCGTCAATCGGCTGAACACCTAACGACATGTGACCGACTGACCAACCACAACGTAAACCCCCATACTTTTGCAATCAATCGAACACTAAATCCCCCTAAATCTATAAAATACTAAATGTAATACTTCAAAACCATAAAATGAAACCTTTCATTTACATCGTTTATGTGTATTAGATCGATTGCGAAAGTATGGGGTTTTGGTCGTGGGTGGTTGGCCAGTCACACGTTGTTGGGTGTTCGATCGATTAACGACGTTGGTGGCAACTGACAATGATACTGGGATTAAAATTAATGTTTTAAAAGTTTTGGGGTTTTTTTAGATTTGAAAATTTTAAGGTTTTTAAAATATATTTTTTATATTTTATTTTAAATAAAAATTCTCAAAATTACTAAAACGTGACACATATTACTTAACTGCGATTTTAAATGACGGTTGATGTCCAAACACCTAAAATAACAATAAAAAAAACGTTAAATACTTATTTTTAACAAAAAAAAAATTACTTATACACTAAAATATTTTTTAATATATAATTTAAATACTTAATTTTATATTAAACTAAAGAGTTTTCTCAAAACTTATAGTCTACCATAAAAGTTCCCTAGAACTCATTATTATAACTATAGAGTTTTCTATCAATCAAGACAAAAGGAGGGCATCATCTGCAAAGTAGGATCATTCAGGGGTTGCAACGTTGTTAAATTCGCTTTTCCAGGAGAAGCCGAGTCCAACCAACAGTGTTGTTTTGGATAAGACATATACGCCTTATGAAATGGTTTAACATTTTGTTACTCTCAACCTCATTTTTTAATATTTTATATGACATAATTACATAATATATATTAAAAATTAAAAATAATATTAAAAATTATATAAAATAAATTATCAACGTATTTTTAAATCACAATAAAACTGATATAAATTGAATATCTTAATGTTTTTCATATCTAATCATCACATGAATAATAAATTAAATGTAAAAATATACATTAATTTTAATTTCTAATCAATCTATCATCAATTTAAAATTAATTATTTGAGTATCTTCATTTACGTAGTTCATATTTTATTTAGTTACTAAAATTCACTTAATTTTCATTATAATAAATCACTTTAATATAAAACTTAATCAATATATACAATCATACAATAATATAAAATGTATAATTACACAAAAATCAGGGTATAATATCCATGTAACCTTACGTTTGTGGGGTGGGGATAGACATCAACTCCATTTGCATGGCTCTAGATCTTTTCCACAGCAGAAATTGATGGTTTCATGGCGACTCTTCAACGGCCAGCTAAATTGCGTGGTGGAAGGGGAATGTTTTGCGTTATTTACACTCCGTCTCAGACTCGCGGTGCCTATAAATAGCGACAGAGTTCGCCTTCGTTTAAGCATCCTTAATTAAAAAGAAAAGGAAATCAGCTATGGGTTCCATTTCCAAAAGCTTCCTTTTACTAGCTCTTTTAGCTGCAGTTGTTGTTCTAGTTTCTTCGAACGTGGCAGCCAGAGACCTTGCTGAAACTACCACAGAAAAGAACCATGGTCAGCAGCTTCTTAATTAATTGTTTATTTTTATCCTCTCCTCTCGGTTATATCGCACGGTTTGATATATGTAAAGCGTTCAATGACAAAATGGAACGTTTATGTTTATTTGCAGGTCATGCGGCCACCGAAAAAACTAAAGCTAACCTAGGAGAGGCCAAGTATGGGGATGACTACGGTGGATATCCTGCAATCCCTTGCTACGGCTGCTAGATTATTACAGAAGGTGCTGCTCTTATGCCGGTGGATGCTCAAAACTCATGCCCGTTAAGCAATGTGAATCACGTGCCTATTAAATTGTTACTTTGTTGTTAACCGTCTACCGTTAGTTGATATATTAAGTTCAGTGGTATGCTAAAAGTTCCTTTCTCTCTCTTATTAGTATTTAAATATGTATTATCTTTTAGTTTAAAGTTTAAGGGATTTGAATAAATAAATTTGTGGAATGTAAGTTTATTTATTGTGCTTTTGAAGCTTAGGTGGTGTCCTGTTCGTAAAAGTGTATTGTTACTTTGTTTTTAGGGTGATTTTTTTTTTCCATTTTGCTGGACAAAAAAGTTAGAGGTCGCTATTTGAGAAGCATTTGGAACAATTTGGCGAAATCAAGAGTCTTAATTAGCATAAATATTGTTGATTGGTTAAGTAAACAATAATCCTAGAATGTTGTAGAAGAATAATTTTGATGGTATTATTCCGATTTGGTGATGAAGAAGTGTCCCCTCTCCTAATTTTTAGTGCATGATTATATATAATGTCCTAGACAATAATCAATCAAGAGTTGTGACATTAATATTGATTGAACATTTTAAGAAGTGATGGCTTAGACTAAAAGACTATATGTATCGACACATAGTTGTTAGTAATTATACGTGAGGTATGCTCAGGGAATAACAAATGATTGACACGTAGTTGTTGATAATTCACAAAATATATTTCATATGTCTAAGAATTTGTATAAATCTTACATTCGTATTTTTAAAGATTGACATAAGCCGTACATTTATATATATGAAAGTTTGCGGGTAATAATGTATATATATTATAAATACGAAAATTATGCTATGATATTGGCATGTAGCCTTACATGGGTTGGGATGATAGACAACTACCGGGGCTTAAAGACTTAAAATATAACTGATATTTAAACAAAAACAAATTAAAAATTCTATTTAAACAAACTTTTTAGTTTTAGACACCAAGATCTTCCGGGATCTAATTGGTTCCGTCACCGTATGCTATTAATAACTTACTCCCTATGATGGTCACTTGTACTATATGGGGAACAAAAGTATCTCCGATTTTCTTTTTCAAGCCTTAATGATTTAAGTGGGTTCTACCAGAAAGTACCCCAAGACTGAGGTTACTGCAACTATAGGATTTGACCAAGTCACATGGCAAGTGGAGGAGACTGAGCTGAAAGCTCAAGGCAACCTTGTATGTATATGCAGGGGTTTCATTCAATCTGTGCAAATTGAACCTTAGAACCATTAGTTGTTGGTTGAATGTTATTAACATGAGAGTTCATACGATAGTCGGATCCATACTTTATTCAGAGCGGACACTTATCTATTTTATAATTTAATTTTTTTTAATTAATTATTAATTTTATTAATTGTATCTTTCTTAAAATTTTATTTATGTTTACCGCATATAAAATTTTTGAACTAGTAATATATATGGGTTCATCCTTAAAAATGTTTTTGGATCAGTCACTACAACAACTCCAACACTCAGTCATGGTTGCTTGACTAATAAATTGGCATGCATTGTAGCCTCGGTTACAAGGTTCTTTTCTCTCGAGTCACAATTGAGTAACATCTGAGTGACCGAGTCAAGTGAAAAGAGCACTCGAGTATACGAAACCACTGGCAAGACAGATTCGAACTCCGAGGGTAACCCAGCTAAATGATGGCCACTTTCTCCTGTTCCGACACTGATGCATTAGCATTTGACAGATAATTGTGATGTTGGCAATATATTCATGCACCATCTGATTCCCTTTCTTTGGAGAGTACAAGGAAGTAGGAACGCCTAGGAGACGATATCTTCGTGCTCCAACATGCTGTAAAAAATCTATTGATCGCACTCCATATGGATAAGGCAGTATTATTACCTATAAGGTACGGCAAACTTTCACTATTAACCATCGATGGCATCCATGCTAAAGCTTATCTTGTTGTCAATAAAATATACAATCCACGTCCTTAAAAAAGAAAAAAAAATAAAACCCAAATATTAAGTTTCAAATTTTTTTAAAAATCCTAATTTTTTTATTAAAAAATACTTAGTCTCAATGTTTCTTAAACGATCGGAGATCATAAGGCGAATGAAAGTTCATATGGCTCACTTTTGGTTTGAGAGGCAGGGTAGTCTCACCGACTACGACGAATAGATGATGGTTGGGTGAAAAGAACGATCTCGTGCGACTAAATGTTGCAATTATTCTCTTTCGGGCAACGAAATACAACGATAAGAGGGTGATTGACCGATGAGAATTTGATGACAAAATGAATTACTGATGGTGGTTAATTCAACAGTATATGGAATTTTAAGTTTGAAGTTTAAAAATTTAGGAGACTTTGAGTAATTTAGAAATTTTAGAAAATTAATGATTTTAGTTTTTTAAATAACACTAAAAGATTAAAAAATATGTTACATGTCAAGTAGTAATTGGATAACAAATTGTTTTAACGACCAATCACATCTTTTAAATAGAAGTGCAATAAATTCATTAGTTAAATAAAGTAGCATCAACAACGTCTTGACATATACATACTAGACAAACGCATTTATAACTATCATAAATAAAATATAACAATTAGCGACCAATGATAGTCTGATGAGCAAGAGCTTGAACAATTAAGGCAACGTCATACAAAGACAAAGCACTCCGACATTCTCGAGCACCTAACATAGAGAAGAGAAACTTGAAGAATATCCATAACAGATGAATGAAAAATCAATCTTCATTTATTTGCAGTCTCATCCGACACATATATCTAACGACCATCGGAATGACACATACAAATGATCGAAGAAACCACACATTTGGAAATCAAGCAATCAATAAATTTCGTAGAATCACAAATTAGGAAGAATACCAATAGAAGAAACTTACACCGAGAGTCCCAAAACATTTGTAGCCATGATACTCTTTACCAGAGAAAGAGTCAAGAGAACACATTATTATAAATATGTAAAATTCGACTAAAAAATAAGAAAATCAAACTATAATTAACGGAAAAATAATATAAATAATAAAAGAAATGGCAAGGAAGTGGCCGGAAAAGCCATTGCCACTACCCTTAATGCAGAGGAGTATGAAAAAACTGCAACAAAGCAATATTGTGGGGGGAAAAACTGCAGCACGACCAATCACCTTAAATGATAATGAAATAAATACAAATAATAATTTGATTTAGTGAGATGAGATATTAAATATTTTAAGTAAGGTCAGGAGTTTGGATATTGATATTTGTAAATTGAGCAAACAAAGTTAAGAGAATCACCCTTTGTGCATCTACTTTAACAAAAAAATATTTACTCGTAAAATAAGTAAAATATATAATTTAGATATTTATTTTATAATTAAACCTTTTTATAAGAAAAAAAAGAAGTTTTATTAAATAAAAAAATAGAAAATATAGATCTATAAAATAAATTTTAGAAAAACAAAATAAACAGACGATTTAGATTACCATAACATGTTGTTATTTAACAAAAGAATCTTAGAACTAGAGAAGAAAACTCCCCGGATTCTAAAATTAAAATGTTTCCTTAATGCTGAAGAAGTGTAAAATAATAAAATTCTACTTTCCTTTACTCCTAATCTCTTGCTATAGGCACTTTTCTTTACGTCTTAAAATTCAACTAATTTATTGCTATTTTATGTTTTAGTGACAATAGGAAAAAAAATGCTAAGCATTGGAATACAAAACAATATTTTCACTTTTAGAAAGGAACAATAAATTCATTGGGATCTAACTGTAGCATATATCATTTTAAATAAGATTAAATTAGGTACCCATTATATTATACATATATTTTGAAATGATTAATTAAAATCTCAGATAACATTTATATAAATTAAGTATGTGTATCAAGTTTTAATGTTTATATGTTCTAATTTGAAGTTTTTTTAATAAGGGAATGAAAGATATACGACATTAGATTCGAGATTAATGTCAATCAAGACTAAATTGTACCGACAAACTAAAAATATAGGGAATAATAAGATTAATGTTTTCTTAATAATGTTTATATTTTCTTCCAAAATTTTTATACCGTCTTTTTCTTTCCATTTTATTTTTATTTAATTGGTGGCGACATCAATCTTAATGTTAATTACCGACTACCGATGATTATTATTTTTCTTATTTTTTTCATACTTTTTCATTTGTTTTTCTTTTTTCTTGAGTTATTTTCTTTCAATTTTGAATAAGAACATTTATAATTCTGAAATGTGTTTCTCTGCTCTTGTGACATATTATTTATGACTTTATGTACATTTTTCGTATACCTTTGTGATCGTTTTGGTGCTTGCACAAAAATCGTCACAATATTTGTTTTTTTATTAATTTATTTGTGGTCACGAATAGTCATATCTCCTCTTTGATAAAATGTTATTTGTCGATATAATCATAATTGTATACCGAAGCAGCGTAGCAGCGTGCCATATGTTTGATTTGCTCACCGCTCCTTTATCACTTTGTAAAACGTCTCGTTCGACAGAAACAATGAGTTTTTAGGAAGGTTAATGAGTTCTTTTGATGTTAGGCGTCATTCTCAAGCGAATATCTCGTATTCCTTTGTATCTTTAGATTTAATATGTATGATTTTTTTTACTATCATTTTAATTTTTTCTCTATATTTGAGTGCTTTATAATTATGATTCTTTTTATTTTTTTATTAATAAAATTCAGTTACCATTATTCAGAAAAATATATAGGTGGCATAAAGCATGAAATAAAATTATAAAAAAAATAACTAAAACATCTATCGTCTAAAAATTAATATAAACACAATATAAATAAATGAATTTGTTGAAATATACTTACAATATTTTATTAAATACAAAATATAATAATAACACATTAATAGTTAAAAAGAACCCGAATAATTGCAACAAGATAGGTAATATATATTAGATCCTAACAAAACACGAACATTTAATTAATAAATTAATCCGATTAAAATTCTTCGTTAGAGAATTAAATTTTTTAATTAGGGTTTGTTATTTTTTTCTCTCTTTTTCCATAGTTACTGTTAGTCTCTTTTATTTTTTATCTTTGTGATCGGCGGTCTCTTAATTTATTATAGAATATCTTTATTTTTTTCTTAAAAATTATCTTTTTGACACGTTTTCTTATGTCTTTATGGTGCGTTTTTCTCTGGCTCTATAGTACGTTTTTTGTTGTTTGGCCATTGTTTTCGTTTTTTAAACGTTATATCTGACACTGC